ATTGGATCGATTAATTTTAGAATATAAAGAAGTGTTATCATCGATTGATAGTAATTTAGAATCATTATCAAAATTAGCACCAGAATATATTACAAATTTATCCCAACAAGATGTTGTTAATATTTGTTAACTTTCTTCAAATATTTGTTAATTTTCTTTTCATTCATTTTAATATATAAGCGAGAGAAGCTGTATATTTAAAGAGTTAATTTTAATACAACAGGCACATTAAAAGTAAGTAGATTTCTGTCTGGATTTTCCAAAATAGCAATTGCCTCACTCGATTGAACTGTCATATGATGTCTGACGAACACTTTTATATTTTATCAATATACAATGTGTTCAGTTTTCAACTACTATTTCTTAAGAAATGAAACACTTTCAAGTCTAATCAGTTCCGACCACTTCTACTTCCTAGCATTTGTAGTTTATCTTCTGATCGGTGCCTAGAAACTGGTTCATGTCTAGGCGAAAGCCTTGATGAGATACATTGTTGAGTATATAACACCTAGATGAGTCAATCATTCGGTCGGATCCAATAAAATTCGACGTCAGAAATCATGTTCGACCTAACGGTAGCAGGGACTGTTATGGATCCGAACGTCCATGGGCGCCCATATGGACCTCCGTGTCTCTGTCATCCATGGGCGAAAAAATACTTGAGAGCTCGTCCATGGGCGCCCATGGACGGAACAGTTTCGTCCAAGGGCGCCCATAGACTTTTTCATCGGCCCATGGACTTAAATGGAATTTTATTTATTTATTTTCTTAGTAGAGGGAGGTTCGCTAGTAGCGGATGTCTCTAGTTTACACTGGAAAGTGCAGGAGTTTTTTTTATTCTGATTGGTTGAAAATCGTGTTCAATCGCTGAGAGAAAAAAGAAAAGTCGATCGTGTTTCGTCTTCTTTCTGAAGATCACTGTGCATGTTGCTTCACTTTTCTTTCTGCTGTAAATTCTGGCATGAAAACTGTGCAACATTTCCTGTTCTGTCTAAAGTGGCACGAAAAATTCACTCGATACCCGCAACAACAGCTGCTGTAGAACGGACATTCAGCGCGGCGGGGTTAGTAGTAACTG